CCGACAAACCTGCAGATACGGGGATATGTACAATGGTAGGAGTGGCCGGAAGCTAGGAATGCCAGAAAGAGAACACCTGCTCAGACGAATTCGTATTCTGTTTGCTGATACTCATTTAGCTTGCGTGGAGTCGAAAATCAAGTCATCGGTTACCAGACATCTGTTCGTTATAGCACGAAGCAACCGTCTACATAGACTGAGGTTTCTGGAGGCAGTATCGATAAATCTATTCAGGCTCGTGCTTAGAAATACCCGAGTCATCCTCAGACCGCCTTGGTTTTACTGATCGTTTATGTTAAAGTTTCGTTCCATATAAGCAAGACAACTAGCCTTGTGTTCGTCATTTTACTCCTTTTTACACTTATTACGACAGACAAGATTGAACGAATGAATTCATCTCACAACACCATTTCCCTCACTGCCTTGTCACAATAATTTAAGTCTATGAAATTCCCTGTGTTTACCAATAAAACAAAAGCCTTGCTGTTGTTCAGAATTACTGGGCGACTGCAGTAGCACGGGTGGATACGGCACCTATGGATAGATAACTGGTATATCAATAAGTGTGTACAAAGTCTTATTCTTCCTGCAAGTAGCATCCCTTTTTCACAAAATTCTTTTTTCAAGCAAAAGCAGTTAAAGCGCTATATACTGGCGATCAAACTCAACTTTCACGTCGTCAAGGCCATTAAGCGACGGCAGCTGAAATTTTGAGAGCAGGTGTTGGGTTGTAATGACAGTTGACACTGATTTATCCACGGACGACCATGCCAGACAAAAATTCTGGCACAGCATACATTTGGAACGTCACCTGGTCGATTAAAATGGTTGTACCTGATTACATTAATATTGCTACAACGAAACAACTTCCTCGTGTCTCTTCCCGGTTCTCCGCTGTGAAACTTCGATCATTTGCAATCCAAATAGCTCGCTACATGTTCCTTTTTCGACATGAATCCATTACTTCCTCCTTTACAAAAGTACTCAGCCTCCTGTTTCCCTGTTATTATTTGATCCAATCCGGTGAGGCAGTGGTTGTAGGCGCTTGGGTTCACGTGTTTGCCATAGAAGAGGAGATGCACTGTCTCATTGTTACGACTTGTTTCAGTGTCGGAAGACCGAACGGTTTATTCCCGACAAACCGGTATGAGGTAATTTCCGACAAGACTGATCTGCCGAAGCAATCGATATTGCATCTATGAAAACCGGCTTCATTAGTAGATGACGGGCAGAGACAGAAAGATTACCCAACAATACGGAGATAACGAGTGTTCTGGAGGTGCGTAAACACAAAAAGGGTGTGTTATGCAGATAAAACGGTCATTCGCACAGTGAATTAGTCATTTGAATGGAATGCCCGAGAACTCGAACGAATACCCAGTAACATACCTTGGTTATGTCCATCGATCGGCCGTCCAGTCAGGACCTCCCAGTCAGGTTCCGCCACAGACGCTTGAAACCCTCTGGACACACCTGCGCAAACGTAAAAAAAACCGTATTAGTCCACCGTGCGCTGGTGGAGTAGTGGTGGCACGCTCTCCTCGCATGTCAGATGTGCGGAGTTCAAACCACGAAACAACCATTGGATATGTACTGTTGATGGACTCGAAACTCGAGTTCAATGCTCCCTCCCTTTGGTGTGGACTAAACAAGACGACTGCGCGAGGACAGGAGGATGATTGTTCGAACGAGATTCATGTGAGTGTGTGTTCTACAAAATCTCACAACCGCCAACACCCGAATTAGGTTATTGCCACGTGTTACAGGTCATTTGTTCATTCTGTTTTCTTAAAAAACAGTAAACCAGGCGGCTGTACAGTCTTTGCCTTGAGGTGTTGCTTGTAGAAGATTCTCATCAATCTGTTCAGAAAATCGGTCCACCAAGGGGAGGGCTTTATATGTGAAGTGAATCTAAAGAGAGATGATCGCATATCTTGTTTCAGACGACCGCAATGGTGCTCCAGACTCTACTGTGATGATGGATTTATTCGTGATGTAGAATGTGCTTACATCCTGGCCTCGAAGGAGAACCAGTTTACCAAACTGAATATGCTGCAGTGCCTTCCAATAGCTAGTGCGTTAATAAAGTAAATTAACAACCCAGAACCGAGTTTAAGTAGCGGGAAGAATAAGAAATCATCGGTCTGCTCACCTTTGCGGCTTAGTTCACCCATCTAGAGAGTAAGGTCTTTCGGGAAGGTATATTCAGCAAGACTGCCTGGTTCAGTGAACATACGCGCGCGATATGTACGAATTTATACTGTAATAACGCCTTTTTTATCTTCAGGGTTAGGTCCCAGGAACACGTCGAAAGTTGAAAGTGGACGATGCACTGACCTTGCGTCACGAATTGTCTCCATTGTATTTTATGCCCTAAATTATCTTCCCACCTCCTTTAAGCACAGTACAAACACAAAGAAAACGTTTATATGCACATCGCGGTATGAATTTTGTCCAGGAATTGTAAAAAAGACACCACACTTAACTAACGCAATATAGACAGTATACACCAGTAGGGATTCATGGATTCAATAAGGACGGCGGTGATGAAACGGGGCGACTGAGAGAGGTATTGCGTTGCTTTCTGCGCAGAACATTCACAGCTTCTGGGCTTTTGGGAGGGGGGTCAGGATATTGCGTGCCTTTTTTGTTGGTAAACCTGAGGTAGGTTTTATGGGCTTTTAGGGGGCTTCAACGGGGACTCCGGCATTATTTACTTAAAAATGACGCGGGCTACGTGTCCCTGAACTGCGAGGTTGGTCATGCCCTTCAACTGCTGCGCCAGTGCCACTGAGTTAGCTCAAACTGGCCCCAACCATTCCCTGAGGTTCCTGTGCATCTCTTGTAATCACTACAAGTTCAATAACGAAACGTCCTGACCTCTCATATTTTGTAATTCCTGGATTACATTAACATGCATGAGGCTGATTCGCTGCAAGTCTTGCAGACGCTTCAATACAAGTAGGAAATCCACAAAAATGTGTCAAAGTCCAAGCATAAATATGCGAACAGATGGGGAGGGAATGTTCGAGCTGCGACAAAGCAGCAACATTTTTGTACTACACCACTTTATAAAAGGTTTTTCCTCGTAGGCATTTATTTGGGTTTCCTACCAAATCAACTGGAGGGGTTTTTGATGGGCACAGAAGTACCAGTCAAGATTTTGGCGCAAAACCACTAGGATACGGGGCGCCGTAGACGGCTTACACTGAAAATGCATAATTGCAAAGCTCCGTCAATCGTGGGGAAGCGATAAAACTTAGCCAAATCAATACTTACTTCGTAACAGACCCCGATTTATTCTGAGGGAAGACACTGCCCATAAGAGTACTGAAAACCTTCCGAGTGCCGGTTTCACCCTTTTTGGTGCTAATCAGTTCGACGGAGTTTCTGAGTTTCCGTCCACCCAAATTATACACGCGCTTGCACACCAGTCTAGATTTAACGGGTGACTCATCTGATCCCAGCTGAATCTTTCATCCATGATATTCTTCAACTGAATGTGGTGCACAAAGGTTGCCTTAGGTTTTATTTGGTGCGATAATCGAGATGTTGCAGTATATTTCATGAAGGAAACTACACATAAGGTTGCTGAAAACTTTTTGAGAGCCCAGGACTGATTTAATCCTGTTTTGGTTTCCGGAGAGCTACGCAGCTGTGCAGTTTATTCCGTTTGAATCTCTAAACTGACGAAGTAGTTGTCTTTTTCTATGGATACTTGAAAGAAAAGAAAAGAAAGAAAGAAAGTGTTCAGCTGTAGCACCCTTCCGGTGCCTAGCTGCCATGCTACCCGAAGGAAGCACGAGGGCTGGGATACTGCCAGGTTGCCCAAGCCTAGACGGGGGAAGTCGAGTGGCGGAGGTCGGATTCGAACCACGGACCTTCCGGTCAGTAAATTCGCGCTCTAACCACCTGGGCCATCTCGCCCCCTGAAGCGAGTCCAGCAAAGTTCATGGAACTGGGGCACTGGAGTGACTGGAACACCACTGTATCCCATCAATATGGTACAATTTAGCATTCTCGAACAAATGCTCTTTCAGCAAGTGAGATGAACAAGGCCTCTATTCAAATGAGCACTGTATACGATTTTTACTATCTATTGAGAGCCGTTCCTCACTGAAGCTGAATGCCGCAAAGTTAATTGTTACAAGTCCTCATGTGAATATAGATTCTATAGGGATTCTTAGGGATACAAAGTGGTTGTTGATCTGTTCGCCAAGTTTGGCAATTTACTCAGCAACTTCTCGAGGAGACGTCATCGATGCGTCGTTGGATGGGACCCACCCACGTTCGCAAGTTGATTGCCAAGCTCAGTTGACAGATCAGCAATATTTCGACATACTGTCAGCACAACAGTCATGCGTATAGACGACCCAGCCATGTAAAAAGAATCGTTTTCCTCACCAGAATGCGAGCAAATAATTGACTGAATGCGCGATGGCACCGATGTCCACACAGCATTAACATCTTATCAGCAACTCAGGCATTCATGGATGGACCGAAGTGCGTGACAAGGTTCTCTGGTGATATGGCTAAGTGAGACAGTCTCGCCTTTTCCGAGACCGAGGTAGGTGTAAGGCAGTAATTACGAAGATCTTCGAAAAGCATACTTTCTCGAAATCTATCTAACCGAGTGTGACCAAAATAATTGAAATTCGCCATTCGATTGTCAACAGCCCTTTTGGCTTCAGCCGTGGAAGGCAGATTGAACATGGCATACTCATCTGGCCGTCTGCTTGTGTGCGACATATGGTCACGTGGAGTGTTTTGTCCCACCCACCGGTTGGTTCGTCGATCACACACAGGGTGTGAGGTACACACACGCTATACTTGGCGTCGCATGGGAACATTCAAGCAGGTGGGTTACCATTACCACGCATGTCTATCCGCGATCAACGGCGAGAATTCTTCCCTCTCGCATTCGATTGGCGTTGGTCCATCCCAAGGTTTTCTGCGCGCGTCGAAGTGTCGCGCAAATTTATTATTACTGATTTACAGCCTTCAGACCATGCCATGAAGGAACACCAGCTATTTGTCACATGAAGCTAGTCAGCTGTTACTTTTATCACTGTGAGAAATACACATTTACGGGTAAGTAGCGAATCGTTTTTGGTTGAATAGTTGTCCTTACATTAATTCACCTTAAAGCAACGATAAAACTCGGAGACTAGCTCAGTCTGATACGGTTTAAGTTTGCTGGGGACACCACGTATACAAGTTCCCCATGTTCTGAATGATATGGTCACATCTGGAAAAGCTCCGAAGCAAGCCACTTTTGTCCTTATTGAAATTTTCACGGTCGAAAAAGGGGGATCCGCCACGTGACGCTTTGGTTACAATTTTTAGGCCTCAAGAGTTCACTGACCTTTCGCATAGTTAGGAAACTTGAATCGGGTGTGAATCTCAGTTCAACCGGGTGTCGATCATTCAAAGAATCTAGCCACTGATGATCAGTCAAAACGTTTATCGATCCTTAGAGAGGACAATGTAATTATCAGGCAACAAGCTTAAGATTTCACTGAATCTCAGCGAATATACACTCATTTGCAAACTAATTTGGTTCTTTCGAGAGACTCACCTGGAACCCAGCTGAATCTCCCGTTTATGACGTTCTCAGGCAACTGAATGTGCCGCACCAGGCCGCCTCATGTTTCAGTCGCTACGATATTTGAAATATCGCGATACATGTATATCTTTGTAATGTACTACTCATAAGGTTGCTGGAAATCCATCGACAGCCCACGACCGGTTTCGCCCTGAGAACATCATAAACGAGAGATTCAGCTGGGTTCCAGGTGAGTCTCTCGAAAGAACCAAATTAGTTTGCAAATGAGTGTATATTCGCTGAGATTCAGTGAAATCTTAAGCTTGTTGCCTGATAATTACATTGTCCTCTCTAAGGATCGATAAACGTTTTGACTGATCATCAGTGGCTAGATTCTTTGAATGATCGACACCCGGTTGAACTGAGATTCACACCCGATTCAAGTTTCCTAACTATGCGAAAGGTCAGTGAACTCTTGAGGCCTAAAAATTGTAACCAAAGACTGAATCTCGTTCAGAAAGATCTCGAGAACCTCAGTTCAACAAACTTACCTAGTTCTACTTCAACAAGTGGGCAAACCGGTTGGTAATACAAGGTTCGGTGGTCAGTAAACTGGAGCCGCCGAAAAACTGTGTAACTGGCTTGTCCGTACACACCTGGTGAGTCGCATCGTGGATGAGAAGGCCTTCCTGATCACTCGCTGTCGACCTTTTGAATTCATCCAAATTCTACGTACAGTGCAAAAATTAATAGGACCAGACACGTTCTGTAAAACCCTCTTTTGAGTATCTAAATTCGCTTCAGCACCCGTTGCTTCAAATACGTCACGTTCAGTTTTCATTTAGCGACTTAATATACAAGCCACTACACTACCTTTTCAACATCGACGTTGGTATCAGAAAGTTGTTTGCTATAAGGAAAGCGCTTTTGAAGTACATCGATCACAGCAACTATCGCTCGGTAGTTCAGTTTCTTGACTCCCTTGTTGTACACCGCACCTGAACAAGTCGTAGATCAGTGAAAATTTGCTTGGCCCTACCTGCGTCTGTGGTTTTCTGCAGAAATCACACCATACATCTACTTTTCGTGCAGAACACACAAAAGTGGTTAATTTTGGGGACAGGCTCTCCTAGGTCGCACTCAAACACTGAATTGAGATCTTTTCAAACGTTAAATTTCATTTTGTTTGAATAGCTTTATAAACTTCTGGAACGAACTAACACAACCATGGATTATCCATTAATCGTCACGCTTACTAAAAGAGCATCAGGTTTCCGCGTATGGCGTTCTTTCCAGCGGCGTCAGAGCCGTCTGTTAGTTTTAGAGGAATGCAAGACTTAATGGTAAGGAAACAAACGTAGAGGAACACTGAAATCAGCAAGCATCCTGTGCCGCACCCGGCGGGCACCGAAATTTCCGGTATGCTATGCGTGTGATGGGACTGTGACTGCTGTGATTCAGACCATGCTGTTTACATAAATATGACATTGGTGTGGCCCAGGATTGTGAGCCAATAGCCCGTCTATTGCATTACAGCTGTGATTCAAACAAGCTGTTTACATAAATATGACATTGGTGTGGCCCAGGATTGTGAGCCAATAGCCCGTCTATTGCATTACACTGCGCTTCCTAATTTTGGGGTCCCGCGTCCCATATGGCAATCATAGTCTATTTTTGGTGTGGCCCAGGGTTGTGAGCCAATAGCCCGTCTGGTGCATTACACTGCGCTTCCTGATTTTGGGGTCCCGCGTCCCATATGGCAATCATAGTCTATGGATTATGCGTGCCGCTGAATGTAAAACTTCCCTTTCCTCAGTGCCCTTCGTCTCACCACCTTGCTTTAAACCTGTTAAAGTGCAATACACTCATTTGCAAGCAAATTCGGCTTTTTCGAGAGACACACCAGGAATCCAACTGAATCTCTCGTTTGTGATGTTTTCAGGCTACTGAATGTGTTGCACCAGGCCGCCTCGTGTTTCAGTTTCTATGATATTCGAGACATGACGTTACATGTAGTGCATTACGTATAGTGGGCTGTCGAATAATTCTCAGCAATCTTATGAATGCACTTAATTCGTTCCACACACTTCTTCGTGGAGTCTGGTATTAACTGCCCTTGCCTGGTTGACCCGATCTAATAGGCAGCCTAGTCTACCTGCTCATGATATTCATTTTTCCTTAAAACCGCTACAGCTGGTGGAATTCGCCTGTATGACTTTCGCATCATGCCTCTCCCATCGTTGTCATCTAGAACCATCCTATAGACACCATTTGGTTCACAGTCCAGAAAATGTAATTCAACCATTGTTAAGCATTTGTCCAGGAGTAAGGTTCACAGTAAACGAAAAGATTTGGGAGGATAAATTGTACCAACGATTAACCAATGATTCCTACGCCCCTGAAATATAATCAGACGGTCTGTGATGGTTGGTTCATCTGTGATGCACTGTGCACAGAAAATCACAGGTATTCAGCCTCCCTCGTTTGTCTCAGCTAACCAATATGGGTCTCCAAAAAGGAAATCATGTCTAACGGTGCACTCTCACCGCCTTTGAGAAAGCGATCTATGCGTGAGTGTAAAGCTCTTCTGTGCTCGAACCAACAGGTGTTACGTTTTCCTTAGCATCTTTCTCCGTTTCTCTTCATCAAGGGAATCTTACATTTCCATAAGAAACAAATGCCGATCGTCCTTTCACCCACTCCTGAAAAGCAGACAAAATTCAATTTACTGTGGCCGGACACGGTTCACATAAGTGAAGGTCAACCTGCCCCGTATCCTGGCGAAGTAAAATGTCAAATATCTTCGGTATTTGTACTCGCTTATTATAAGAAGATCATTTTTTTGCCTCCACACACCCTCCGAGTAAGAGAAATACTCTATCTTTGAGCACTTTATTCCCAGTGACCGCTCTATACGCTTTTTTCCCAGTAGCTGAAAGGGAATAGTATCGGAGTCAACCATAGGCCTTTGGTTACAGTTGCCTGATACTATTAAAATCGCTCTTAACTCCTTCAACATATGTTCAAGTAAAGGAACCGGGAACTCTGAGCGCCTCCTGGCTTTTCCAGAATATCCATCCACTTTGCAACTATCAAACGCTCCTTTATCGTACGAGCAGTCCAATATTCTCGGTAAAAATCCAAACATGGAATACAGTATTGACAGGCTGACCGGGTCCCAGTGGATTTTCTAAGGTCCATTTACATTCATCCCACCCACATACCTCGACTGATTTGTCAAAATGCCATGTTTGGTGACGCATTAAAAATGAGTTGCTGTTCTCATCGTAATTTGGGGACGAGAGGGCTCAGTGGTTACAGCACAAATTTACTGTCCATAAGGTCCAAGGTTCGAACCCGACCTCTCCATATTGACTTCCTCTGTATAGGCTTGGGCAACCCGGTAGTATCCCAGCCCTCGCGCTTCCTTCGGGTGGCATGGCAGTTAGGCACCGAAAGGATGCTACAGCTGGATGATTTTTTCCTCATTGTGGTTTTGTTGACTTTTGTTCATGCGAATGATATCTACCAGCTACGTCTAAGCCGACGTTATACATGTCAGTTTCTGTTGTATCTATCGGTTGCAACCGGTTCACAAGTGAGCAAGTTTGCTCTGTAAACTGAGTAACCATCGACTTCCACTCCCAACTCACATTCCGAATACAGTGCCGTCGTCGATACACGCCACCTTAATGAGACGGTGGAATACTTATCACAAGCCAGACATCTGAGTCTGTATCGGTGTTAATTAGCTCAGTGACTTGATTCAGCCTGAAAGCGTGAGGCTGGTTGAAGAATGGCTGATTATATATTCCCCATCAATCCCTCGCTGCTAAGTTTGCATGAACGCTACAACAAATAACACGGATGACGTTTATTCGGTTCCCCCGAAAGGCTCTGTTTAGCCATTCGGCAAGCTGATTCGGACACAAATGCGATTGGTTTATCATAGGCGCTTGTTTGTTGTCCAGATTTCCTCTGTTTTGTTATTCTCTCCCTTGTTGGATCATTTGATGCTCTTGGAAACTATTAATCGTAACCTGGGTTGGCAAACTACTGAACTGATGAATCGGTCATCTTTTCGAAGTGTCTGGTCAATAATCTATAGATTTACTAACGGACAACGTTTCTTATTCGGTAAAAAATTCCATTCATGCCATTCGAGTGGTTAGCTAGGCTAATCGATCTTCGAGGCAGAAAGATAAAGTCAGTAATTTCACACTAAATCAGTTTAAAGTGCCCGTTTAAACTTCTTGTTGGTTTATGTGAGTTGCCCTACCACCAGTGTCCATCATAAACTCACCTCCAGTCCTCGTTGTCAAGCTATTGAACTAACCGTACCAATGATATCGATCCACTTTCGAACTCACTGGGCGCTGGAGTGTCGGGTACACAGGGTTGAAAGGTCTGTCGACAAAGTTCATTTTTCTCTAAAGCAGAAACCGTGAAGATGCGTTAAAATTGTCATCCAGGCTCACGGAGCACGCTGAAAAATACGGAGGTTTCGGGAGGCTTTGAATAGTTGGTGCTAACGTGCTCTGACTCAAGTGCGCTGCCATGAGTTAGTCCCCGAGTGACGTAACAACCATTCCCCGTTTAGTCATATTTCGTTTAGTTCATATCCTTTTACTGGGAGATACCCGAGTTGAACAGACCGGTTTTCTGTTGGTACCCACTCCCACCGACCAGCATCTAGGATTGAGGACCTAGTGGAAAAGAGGGAAGAAGGAACCTCGTAGCAACTTTGTATCGCTTTCCTAACCAGATCTAACGGGTGGAAGAATCCTGTGCACATGAGGACATTCATTTCCAGGTTCATAAAGCCAGATGGTTCGAGACAAGTCAGTGGCTAAGGCGCCAGCTCACGACTGGAAAGTCCGTGATTCCAGCCCAACCTCAGTATCTGGACTCTTCTCTCCAGGATTGGGCAACCTGGTGGTCTCCCACTTCTTGTACCTCCTTTTGTTGACATGGCAGCTAGGTAGCGAATGTGCTACAGCTCTATGAATTTCTGTGTAGTCTTACGCAACCTGGTAGTATCTCAGCCTACACGGTTCCTTCGGATGCCGCGGCAAATATGCAGCTGAGATATTCTTTTCATTATTGAAGCGACACGGAGATAAGCGTATTCCAAAACGTCACCCACATCAACCAAGGGACCCCAACCAACTTTAACCGTCAAAGACATCTGTAACCGGAATTAGATTAGACTGACTAGCTGGAGATGATGGCGCAGTGATGGACGTACTAACCAATTAGAAAACACATGAGCTTGTGTGTGATTGGGCATCTGGGTCGATCGATAGGGGGTGTCAGTGTGAATGAGGCCCACCACTGAATAGCGTGACTGAGCAAATAAACTGAATTCAGCCCCTGCAAGTACCAAGATCTGAATGCCTAGAGCAACCAGCCAGGAGTTCAGCAAGACAGAGTCCTAAACGTCTCGCTATTCTGTATCCTCACTCAGTCCAAAAAATCAATACATGTTCTAGTTCCTCTGTCCTAGCATGTATTCTCCCATAAATGTTGATAAATTCCCATGGGTAAAGCTTCCGTGTACGGATATCCAGAAAGCGTGAAGAATATACCGTAGAACTGATCAGATCGGTCCATTATGGTGGGAAGGAAATGTTTTTGGAACCCTCACCCTAGTGGCCAGTCCTTAGAAGCATGGGCTATCTGGAAGTGGATACACTCGTATGTGGAAGTGTGTAGTGCATGTTCAATAAACTAGGAATTACTGGATCCTTTTTCTGAAAACTCATATCGGTTGGTAAGCACTCTACTGAGCTTCAAATCTGAGCTAGGGATAGCATGACATTCCAAAAAATGGCGTCCCTTAGGGCTGTGCTTGTTTGGGCAAACATTGTTGCGAAGGTTGGCGATCTAGAACCCGGTTGGAATAGCTCAGACAACAGGATGTGTCGATAACCCTGTGCAGAAGGATGGGGACACCTTACATCTCCTTACTGGGAGTCTAGTTTTCATCTGGTATGTGATCAAACACTGTGAAGTAGTGTCTTGTGGGGCTTTGTCAGAAGTTCGCAACACTGAATCCCCTGAAGATACAAGTCACCACATGCTGATAGTTCATTTACTTTGTCATTGGTGGCTACAGAACATGCGAGGGGGCCGAGATGACTCAGTGGTTATGGGTTTACTGTCCGTGGTTCGAATCCGACTTTCCTTGTATAGGCTTAGGCGACCTGACAGTGTCCCAGCCCTCGTGCTCCTTTCGGATGGCATGGCACCGAAAGGGTGCTACAGCTGAACGATTTTCTCTAAAGAACGTGCAATCCTTATACGACAGGGGTATAGCCACAAAAAGTCACTAAATGACAGTTTTTAAATGAAGGACAAGGTAATCCCAAGGGTAAGCACTAGTCTATTTTGTTAATAGCTGCATCTCTACGAAATTCTAACAAGACGAAGTCACAATGCCGTACTTCCACCAATCGGCAAATAGTCGAGGACTTTGAAGATTCGATTGTTTTTTTAAATTTTTTGATGGACTTCTTGTGTTACTTGTCTGGCTCATACCAGTCTTTTTCAACTGCAGCTTTTTCAGGGTGACGTCAATCCGTCTTGCCAAACTAGACATCTTAGCAACTAAAGGCGGTCAGATTACTTTCACGTAAGTCAGACAGAGCGGATGAACTCAGAGAATTAGTCTGCAGTCTGATCAATCCAGTTGCTGAGACAAGTCCTTACCATGGCACCCGGTAGGTCTGGCTCAAAACTGATTGAAGTTTGTGGTACATTTGTGTTGCTTTAAGTTCTTCCCTGTGTGAAAAACGCATGAGTGTGCCGTCTCTGGCAACGGCTCACCTTTCCTATGTTAGACGATAAAATCTGCAGATCACCCGTTCATCATGGGAAAGTGTCCTCTTCTCTTAGTAGCTCATCTCAGGCGCGCAGCTTCCTAGCAGTGCAGGAGAGGGTTCTCATGAAACTTCTCTTGTGGGCGGTGGGTGACAGGATGGACACAAAAGATACTGGCGATTGTGTGTACTAGTAAGGCGGACTAAGTGCTGTAGGCTTACTTCTAGCTTCATGTAGTCATGAGAAATACAACAAAGCCAAATTGCCATCATATTTGCTTTCAGGAGGAAAAACATGCATCGCACTTTTCTCATAGGTGAAAATCGATAATGCCACCAGTGTGGCTTTTGTAAAGTATCATTGATTACACTGGTCCTTTCATCGGAGGTGGATAGCACTAATCTGGATTTGCGCCCAAAGAACAAACATTCATACAGTGACACCAAAAAAGTGTCTCAGGAGTGACCCTCACACTGCTGTGATTACGCAAACGCATTATGAAATCATCGTTTCCATGATGTAGCATCATAACACCAAGGGGATCGGATTTCTATTAGGTTTGGATATTCCCTAACTCCTTAAGTAATATTATGCCGTCTTCGAAACCTGTCCAGGCAATGGCGAGAAATGGGGAGGCATGCGAGTAGTATACTTTCTCGTAAATCCGCTTTGCGTCTCTTGAAAAGTGAGATTTATTACGGAATTTTTGGAGTCGCTTTGTAGCATTTGCTTGGATTTGAGCAACAGTCAGTGAATATCCAGAAAAGTTCAGGAAGACGCGTTCAAAGAGAGGATGGATATTCAGTTTTTGTAAACAAGATGCATATGAAAGTTTTGCTTCCCTGTCCAATAGTCTGTGACTGTTTAGCTGGCATTTTATTATTAATAACTACCCAGCGACGGCCTCCTTCCTTTCACCAGTGTTATCCACTTAGCCTAGTAGGTGAAGTCAGCGATTTTGTACTCACAACTTTATTGTTTGAACAGACGAGTTGGACGAAGTGTTTGGAGAGGTTCGAGTGTTCATTTTGCTTCCCGTCCAATAGTCTGTGACTGTTTAGCTGGCATTTTATTATTAATAACTACCCAGCGACGGCCTCCTTCCTTTCACCAGTGTTATCCACTTAGCCTAGTAGGTGAAGTCAGCGATTTTGTACTCACAACTTTATTGTTTGAACAGACGAGTTGGACGAAGTGTTTGGAGAGGTTCGAGTGTTCATCTGAACCAAATTTTTGCTTACATACGGAAACGTAACACATCTTAGAGTGCACAATGCAAGCCTGGAAAGTTTGGTATTAGCTTGGAAATATATCTTGAATTAAGTGAGGCACTTTGTAGCGCTGCTACTCTGACGATGTCAAGCGGACACTACAAGACTGATGAGTTCTACCCTTTCTAGTAAGCGGTCATAACCAGAAATCAAACAAAATTTCATAAATTATCGTCAAACTTCCAGAAACACTCTTCGATGGTGTTAGATACTAGTAAGAAAAGGGACCGGATTATGCTCCATTATTTTTCCGCTTTCCTTACGCACACTGTGTGTGCGGTCAGACGCGAATGCTCTAGCAGAATATGTAAAAAGCGGCGTTTGAGTGCTCTGATCTGGCCACCTGGAAGTCAAAACTCACGAGACTGTATGCAAGTGACTTGTATTAGGAGGTGTAGTTTCATAGGGGTGGTGAGCGACCGTGAGAAGTGACATCTTTTGTCAATCCTTGTGGTCCTCGGGTTTGCAGGATATTACCTCTTTTAGGTTTAACTCTAGGTGGGTAAGGTGTCTAAAATGATTTACAATGATTGCTTTCACGTTGGTGGTGCAATTGAACGTTTGACAGTAACATGAAGCTGAAATTTGTCAGCATCATTCACTTGCGGGAATTCAACTAAGACAATATCTCATTCGATTCTATTTCAGCAATCCAAATACCAACAGAAAAATAGCCTATACCCGGGGATTCTCCAGTATCTCTAACATACAGGCTGACTGACATTCTCAGTCATTTACCCTGACTTCACCCGTTTCCAACCACATGCCATCCGCTGAGAGTGCGAACGACAGCTTCAGTCTCATTTCCAATTTTCAAGTATTTTCTTCGCTAACAGATCACCGGCGCTTGCATTTGCGGTGGCGCTGGAATTCCACCACTTTGGCCGAACAGCTATTCCAGCAGGCAAATGTGAGTCAGATGACCTCTGGGTTTTGATCGATTTGTTCCTTCTGCAGGTTTGGAGTGTACGGAATAGTTGGTCTCAGAGGACGAGGTTGATTTATAGAATGAATATTACTGATACAGCTACAAGTGCTCCTCTCCAAAGTTTCTCATAGTCGATTAGACAGCTTTTTTCCAATCACGTTACGGAGGAGTTTCAAGTAATTTTCTGTGTTGGTTGACCGATGTTTAAGAGACGGGAGAGGAAATATGTGATAAGTCGCATCCGAAATTTCCAGTGAAAAATGTAGAGAGATAACACTCCTTCCATAAAAAGAAATACTCACTGACTTACTGAAAACTCTTCGACAAACCAAGATTGATTTCATCCTTCCTCGACCTCATTAGTTACCTCGAGTTTCCGTCAAAATTATGTCTTGGTTGAAGCAGAATTGCGTAAAATTCGATAATGTACTAGTTTTTGTCCCAGTTTAATTTTCACTCACTTGAATCCCAGCCGAATATTTCGTTTACTATGTCTTGTTTGAAGTAGAACGTAAGGTTGAGTGAGGGGAACTCGGGAACTGCGTCAACCTGATGAGGCACAAGAATGGCAAAACCAACCGCGGACTGCCGAAGAGTAGACTTCTTTATGAAACTATACTGCAAAATCTTAAATGTCGTGCCAACTAAATCATGAGATGGCCTTTGTGGAATGCATTCAATTGAATATCATAAAAGTGAGAGGTTCAGCTGGTTTTCATGTGCCCCACATGAAAACCAACTTGATATGCAAATTAGTGTGTCTGTGGAACACTCTTCCTTTTTTCTGTCATGCTTGAGGGACACAAACAAGCAACGGTAGCCTGGAATCAATCCGTCCCGGTAAGCTCACCACAATAGGCCCCTCCCAAGGGAAATCACTTCTTTGTATTTTCCGCGACGGTCTTGTTCTCAGGGGACTAACTGTGCGTTCTTTGTGACAACGAGTCACTTCTTAGTAAATGCCAACTAAGTCGTCCATTTCTGTCGGTCCCGTTATGAGAAAGAAGTAAACCGTGTAACCCGATCCACCAGAATCGGCTGAATCATGTCCATATAGAAGTCTTAGGATACTCGTTGAGTCATTTTTTCCTGCTGAATGTCTATCTAAAATGTCCATAGAAACGCGTCTTGTCACTATATATATATATATATATATATATATATATATATATGCAAAATTAACAACATAAGGGAAGATTTGCCTGACTGGTTGAAAACGTCTTACACCTGCCTGTAAAAAATCGGTAAACCATTTTATCGGATCCAGCTTTTTAAACAAGTGCGGCCATAAGTAACGATTATTTTGAGCCGTGTGAGCCTTCAGTTGCCGTAGACTTTATAGAACACTGAAGTTTTCATGCGAATGCGCACTGAAATTTCGCAGCAGGCAACAACTGAGGAGTTCCCCAGCATGAAAGTAGGGTGGACGCCGGCTTATATAAACGGCTGTTTTACACGGTGTTTCTGTTCCAACCACACAGTAATTAACCCAATTATTTCCAAGCCCATGGTATAAACGGGCACTTTGTTTAGATTGTTCATGCATACGTTTTCCGACACCTGGGTTTATGTAGTTATGCCGACCATAAGGGGTTAAATTTGGGAGGCGAGAGAACTCACACACTTGGAGTAGCGCAAGGTTTAAAAGCTTGTTTACGTGTACACCGGAGCCGGAGTCCATGTACCGTAGGTTTATGGAGTATGACAAGCATCCAGATTTTGGTGATCAGCTGTTTCTGGGTCATATGGTTATTGAGTATCCATGTAACTTCAGGCCCCACGCATCCGCTTCTAGCTTTCAGTGCAATGAACAGAGGTACATTAACTCACTTTCTGTCTCCTGGTTTTATAATCACGGCTTCCTTCCAATTTCTTGTCATCTGTTTAATCAATACATGATTGGAAAGTTCAGTATTGCTATAGGAATTCTGGCCGTAAAAACACTAAGGGATTTTGTAATGTTTATCTGCTGGAGGATAGCCCATGAGATTCGTGACTTTTGCTTCTGCATTCAGGTAACCCAACCTTATTTTTTAAATGGTATTATTTTTGTTACTGTAAGGTCAGAAGTGATATACAGTATACTCCCATGTCCTTGATGCACGCCTACTGATACAAAAAGGTCAACCCGTAACTAGCTGCCAGACGCGTTTCTGATTTCATTCTGGTTAAATATGAGTAAAAATTGCCAAACACTACAAGTTTCCTGCAGATGTACTGTTCTATAGTAAAGAAAAAGATCATGTTGTTGAAAAAAACTCGTAAACGTTTTGAATTTACGATGCATTATTTCATCCTATCGTTTGGTTGTATTACTTTCAGCTGCTATTTCAACCGCGAAGTTTTCTAACAAATGTTTCTGAGCGAATATTCATGACTTACCTTTTACTAAGCCAAATCCTGTCAAAAATGTTCATTAGTGTGTCGGAAAGATAAACGCCATGAAGCGTTTATCAACTGATTAATTTGGGACAAGTGAATAGGGAAGTCAGGGAACCAGAAAATGTGCTCTCTTTGTTCCTTGAGGGCTTTTTTCCTAGAGGGAGGGAATCAGCATAAGACTCCTGTGCTCCTTTTGATGACCTGTTTCTCCTGAATAATTGTTATGACAACTCATCTGCAGGGATATCGAGAGTCACTTATAAACCAGGCCTTAGAATTCCATTTACGCGTTTGCGGAGCAAGGCTCCGAATTGGAGACACGCTTATCATCTCTCAATATTTTTTTGGACTACTGTTTTGTTTATTTACTGCAAACATTGAGTGTAGGGGTACCCGCTTTCCGAATGTTTTGTTTTTTCTAGTTTGTCTGACCTCTCCAACAATAAGCTTAGACTAACTTGCTCACTGTTCCTTAAATTTCCTAGCTGTGGTTAGGGCTGCTATATCGTTCCGTCAAGAACAGCAGACGCATCTAATTCATTTCTTTAAAGGAGATTTGTCCTGTAAATGAAGCCATTCTGTGCTGAAAACTCGAGAATCACGATAATTGCGCACGACAATTAGTGGCGCATAGTTCAATAGGCATGGACACAACTGAAACACAAACTTGCCCTCTCGTCTGATGTACACTGCTGAACAGCCATATCGCGCTTGCGTCACATTTCCAATAGTCAGAGTTCAAAGCCTGATACGGTCAAGAAAGGATACAGTTGAGGATCTACAACCAGTAGGAATTCCGATTTCGGTGTTCTCTCTCTTTCTCACACCCTTTATATGAAGGAATGTTCGGGGTAAAACCTTCAAGATAGGTAGTCAACAGTTGTTGGTGTTTTCCAGAGAGCCTTCGACACTTACCGTTGATGATTCTGGATAATTGTTGTGGGGTTTGTGGGATATGTTTTGTTCACATTCATATCACTCTCGTTTGGCCGTATCGCGTTTTGAATTCTAAGTATTGGAATGGCTATCCAGAAGTGTACATCGGACGACAGAACAAGTTTGTGCTCGAGTGGTTCCATGCCATGCACCACGAACTGTTGCGCATTTACAGAAGAGTGATTTTTATGTACAGATCTAACCCAGCAACCTTAACCGTCTGAGACATTTCTGGTGAATAAAACATTGGTCTTTCTCCAACTAAGAATGTTTTTGGTTTCATTTCAACAGGTGTTTTACTATAGTGGTGGCGATATCAATGTCTCCGGTGAACAACCGATCCACGACCCCAGTCTTCAAAGTTATGACCTGTTTGAACTCCAGGCCGACACACAATACACCATTTGTTTACGTGTTACCAGAAAAAGATATGATCGTGCAGTTGAGGAGGCGAAGAAATTGCAACTTCAAGCAACTCCCACAGCTTTACAAGAACTCTCGATTAAGAACAACATTACCAAATTGGATGTAAAGCCATCTTCCGAGGCCTATGTAGCCGAGATGCAGTGCAGAGTAGCCGTGACGCGGCTGGTTCACTGGTCAGCTGTAATATCGGTCTTTACTGGGATTCTCATCGCATGTTTGATAGCTTTATCCATAGTACTTTTGCTGAAGCGAATTCAGGTGAAGCGAGATATGCGAAAAACTGAAACATTTCATCAGAATGTTCAGCTTCTTGGTTCGAAAGTAGAAAAGAACGAGGAAGCAGCTCGGCAAACTGATAAGTATACTTGTTTTTTGCATTCGAAGACAGAGGCTGTAAATTCAGGAGTGTGTGAAACCGGTTTGGTTCGCAAAGATTCACTAATGTTCGTGGCTGTTAACGCTCCATACCAGTCAGCTATCAAGTCTAGAGCAGCGTCGAATGACGCAAGCATCTCGGAATTCCTCAGTACTTCAGGCTCCGGGAGCAATCAGTTCAGCTCACCTAGTAGTAATTTGGATACACATTCAGATAATCGAAAACACGGCAGACATCAGCGGAAACCAGATCCAGTCAAGCATACTTCGAGCGCCGTGTCCACTGACACCCCATCACTATCGGACACACACGACAGGAAAGGGCAGCACAAGAGAACGGTATCCTTCGTAGTGTCAGACAGAAAAAAACGGGATAGTAAAAGAACATCAGATTCTGTTATTCGTTTGCCAAGACAAACGAACACATCTCCCCAACTTTCTGAAACACATGTTGGGAACGGATTTGCAGATCTTAGTGATACGGTCGCATTGAGTGACGGCACAAACAAACGTACACCATCTGCACTGTACCCTGTAGAAATTGTCAAACCGACGTCTGTGATGAAGGAGCCAACCCCATCTGTCGACAGTGGACAAGAACTACACGTCCCATACTCTTTTGTTTCCAACAAAACTGATTTCCCAATCGGAAGTAGGATGGAAGTTCGTGAAAAACAGTTCACAGACAAAACGGCCCTTCTCAGTCCCGAACTGGGTGACGGGGATGTAAGTGCTACCTCATCGCTGATGGACAGTAATGGTTCATTTGATCCGCGTCCAGTCACAACCACTGATACTCAGACTGTGATTACTTTGAGCCACGACAAAACGGAATTGGACGCAAAGAATGAACTATCGGTTCCGTGCTCTGTGAGAGCAGCAACAGAAGCAGATTCATTCCCCGCAACCCTTTATCGGTTGATCAGTATGGGTGTTGAGGAGACCGATAAGATTAATTCAGTTCCCTCTGTTACGGGCGTTGCAGTCCAGCAAGAATATCCAACGGTGGATGATGCTGACAATAGTTCATTCTTTTATACACAAGTTGTTGAGTCACTGTGATACAAAACGAGATATTATCATATAGTAGAACCACATTCCTGTGTGAACATGTTCTTCGGTTTCTTCTATTTGTTTGCTCAATCTAACCAGGTACCTCTCTGAGAAAGTTCGTTTTCCCGACATTGTGTTATTCAAAGTATGGCAGTTAGTCTGAACTATCTTCGCCACTTTTAGAATGCCTTTGGAGGTTATGATTAATATTCCAATTCTGGATTGAGGTAATTTCGGATCCGATTTCGGGTTAGTCCAGAATTAGGGTCCAACCAGATCCTGCTTACGGGCTGATGAAGGAGTTGGTGTGACTTAGAGTTCGTTTGTCTTGCGACAAAATTGATGTAGTCAACTGTAATACAAAGGAACGTTTAATCTCTAGAGTGGGCGAGATTCAGAAATTGTATGAAGCACATCCCGCTAGATCGATCTCTTTCAAGGGTAAACAATCTTGAAAGGTATTCTGTTTTCAAGCTGAAAAAAATAAAGTTCTGCTATTTGGTATCACGTGGTTAAAAACGCATCGGGTTTGTCAGAGTATACTCCTGAACGACCACCGAAGCTAGTCACGATATCCAGCGTCCTTATACCTCGGCCACCTTATCCGTCGAACATGCGGGTCTTTGTCAGCTACTGCAGGTCAATTGATTAAATGCTTCTAGCCGATCAGTCACAAATCGATCCCCATTTGAACAGCCAATGGGACGTTTTCAGCAACCACAGACGCCATGGTATTACAAACTAACTGTTTTGGTAATAAACTTGAAATTCTCTTGAGCGAAAGGTCTTCCCGTCCTTCTTGCTTCTGGAGATACAACTGACACCTACTGCAGAATGTAAAACGTCAAGAAGCAGCATTTCTACAGGTTGATTGGAACCAAAATATGTAAAACTGATTTCTTTGGAGGAAAATGTCAATAGCTCAGGTAGCGTAGATGGTTGTTGGCTTGTTCACTGAGCTAGACAAGTTGATTGCAAACGTTTCATCACCAATCGGGGTGACATCACCAGTGCGTTATTGGGGAGCGTAGTTGTGCGTAGCGGTGGGTTGGTGGTTGTGCGTTTAGTGGTGTTACGTGTGTTAATCTACGTGCTGGTAGCCAGGAATAACCTTTGACCGCGATTAGTTGTTCGGTCTGGCGGTTCCATTAGCTATTATGTTATCCCGTGTCCTCATTCGCCGATGCCCACGTGACCCTTGAACTTGGCTTCCCTCGCTGTCGTAGTCTGGTCGATGTTGGAGTGACCTTTGTCGTTCCGAGTTCCTGCTTGTGATCTTTATTGATATGACTCTGAGGGGTTCCTTGTTTCTTTGTGAATCCAATATTCGGTCCTCCTTGAGTGTTCCGGTTGAGATGTTCGTCTTTTACACCTAGAGGTTCGTAAATTGGATCCAGTTCGATGCACCGGTTGATCGAATCTGCCGTGGACTACCACGGTTCCAAAAATTCTCTTCCGTGTCGCGCGTCTCTGTATGCCAAAATTTTCGCGTTTTCCAAATTGAATTTATGGCCTTGGTCCTCGTGTATAGATATCAAGGACAGGGGTTCATACCTCCTGAAAGCCGCGTTGCGTTCCTTTATTCGTGTACATAATTTCCTCTCAGTTTGTCCAACATCGACGAGACTACGACAGCGAGGGAAGCCAAGTTCAAGGGTCACGTGGGCATCGGCGAATGAGGACACGGGATAACATAATAGCTAATGGAACCGCCAGACCGAACAACTAATCGCGGTCAAAGGTTATTCCTGGCTACCAGCACGTAGATTAACACACGTAACACCACTAAACGCACAACCACCAACCCACCGCTACGCACAACTACGCTCCCCAATAACGCACTGGTGATGTCACCCCGATTGGTGATGAAACGTTTGCAATCAACTTGTCTAGCTCAGTGAACAAGCCAACAACCATGTAAAACTGTCTTGTTCCACTGTAACTGCACATTACCTGGTACATGGCATTTGGAGATGTCACTTCAGGTACGTCACATGTATCATTTCAACGGTTAGTATGTATCGCTGTCGAGGGAAGGGTAAGTTGAGGGGCTGAATCTGTACGAGAGCTTATACCGAAGTCAACTGATTAAAAATCACCACCCAGTTCTATGAGCGCAAGAAATTATGAGGCGATGAATCTGGACGCCGTGGTACTGCCCAATTGACACCCACTTTCACTGCCACACGTCTGTCTTTTAAAGTTTGTTGCGTGTTTTGTACCTCCAGGCTGAGGTCTCCGATGCAAATGGCAATGAGAGATCGGGATGTAAACTGTTCAAATAGTTGTCAAGGTGTTCGAAATCGGTGCAACCTGTGGACAACAAAACGCTATCAAAATAACCTTGGAGAGGCATAGTATCACAATTGTCATTAGCGAGCTGTTGTTCCTGCGAATATAGAAAAATATGTCAGTAACTTTTCAGGTTGCCAGCTGGCCATTGCTTTTCTTATAGACATCATCCTCCAATTCATTACGTCAGTGTCTCAATTCTCTTGAGTAACTTTAAGAGCCGTGTACCAGGGCTGTGTTCCCTCGAATTAAACATCCAATCAAAACTGAGGCCAGTAAGCTTCAGGTCCTCTACGGATGTCAAGTGAACCCATGATTGGGATAGACGACTGTTAATAAAAAGGCACTCACGTGTCGACAAAAACCCTAAATTCAGTCCGTCAGTTCGGGAATAAATTGTCTGGTCTTTAAACAAGAGCAACATAACCAAAATAAATCAGTGTAGTGCTTTAAAAATATGCAGATTCATCATACGACATTGGGCATGACATTTGTCTGATGAGGGCGTCACCCTGCTTCCGGTAGTGACGGATAGCCTTGGATATGGTCTCGTTTTTAGACGTTATTGGTTGGTCGACAATAACAACGAAACTTGCGACCAGGATAACTCGATATATAAAAGGGGAAAATACACGTACAAGGCCCAAGCCATTTTACTTTTATTGGATGCATCTGAATTAGAATCTCGTAAAGTGAATTTAGACACTCCCTAAACACCTCGAGATCTACAAGTTGATTTCACACGATGCGATAATTCGGAAGGGTGAATCACCGTCATGGACAATCTCAATAGTCTCAAGATGAACAATACGGAATGAGGGAAGGTCAAACACAGTATGAGGTGTTACAATCCGACGTTTCGGTTTCCGTAAGCAACTTGTTCCAAGGATTTTTAGAATCACTTGGTTGTAATAACTAATTCCACTGCACTGTGTTTTGGCTTTAAAGCTGCCGTACTGCATACCACATGGCGCTCAGTTCTTCAAGAAGATCCGAGCGTCCGGGACTTCCAAACCGTGCATACACATGATTCAGATTTTTTTGTTTGTTGCCACTAAAGAGACGTCATCAGTGCGAAACACAGTAGTACCATAAGCGTCGGTTTCATTTAATTGTAGACAACCGCAGATTTTAATGTCCGCGCGAGTATCCCACACCAAAGCATAATCGTAGTGTTTTTGGACATGGGGCAAAAAGTGTAAGTTCTGCTGTGCATAAACTGCTTTCTTTTCGTTTGGACAGATTGGCTGTTGTAAGATTGAGCGTTATTGCGTTTGAAAATCCCAAGTTTAGCGTTGGAAAAACGATTATTTCGCTCAAGGTCGGACTGTACCGCAGCTCCTTCAGAGTAGGGATCATGAACTTTATTGAAACTGTCCCTACATCCCCAATAGGTCCGTCAGCGCAGTCCAACAAAACTCAGCTACAACCATATGGTTTCTGAATTGTCGGTTCCTGTAGTTATTCCGTAGATTTAAGGAAGTTCATCAAATCGAAACGAAGAAGCAAGGGGTACTGTACTGATATTCTTTAGCATAATGTTCGGAAAACAGGTTGTTCTGAGGTTCCATTGCGAAGATATCCCATGAAGTTTATTACTCATAATCCGAATTTTGGGTAATCGTACTATACTACTAAATCCATGAACAAGAGATAGAGCTTTGATGGGATATGTATACCACAGTAATTGATTCCACTGAGTGAAAGACTATGTTTTGTCGGTGTCATTGGTTGACCTTATCAGAAGGGTGTTCCCTGGTGAGTGACCATCCTTGCTCTTACTTTTGCAGACGTGGTATTTCCTGGGGATGACTGGCCAGTGAAAGTTGTCTCAAGCGACCAATCCCAGGTGGTCTCTTCTGACAATGGCCAAAACCGTGATACTTATGTGCCATAAGGGTAAAGAACACATTTTGTTGTCAGGATGCTTTTGCGACCATTAGTTACAGGAGGAAACAGCTCATAAATTCTCTTCCCGTATTTTTTGTTGTGACGAGGGTTTTTCCTGAGGGTGCACTTTTTGTTAGGTTACCAGTTACCTGGAAAACCAGAATGAAGTCAGCTTACTTCATGGTCTCTTTTGTTACACGAACTTATTTAAAGAACTATCGTACGTTAGCGGCAATAGTGATTTAGTTAACGTGTCTTCGTCAAAAGGCATCAGCCACCCCATATTTACTGAGCTTACAACAAATGGCCTTAATTTCCAGATTGTTTCTAACTAGCGCCCAGCAATCGTCCGGACAGGAAATTCTATTTATGCACGTAATACACTACTCATAAGGTTACTGAAAACTTCGAAATCCCACGGTTGGTTTTGCCTAACTGTTGAGCCAATAAACGACGAAACCGGTCATGGGATATCTATATAGTGTCTATACAGTTTATTGCGATATATCGAATGTCATGGCCTGGTGCATCACATTCAGCTGGGTTCCAAGTGAATGAGTCTCCCATCAAAACTGACTCAGTACCAAATGAGTGAATTTCGCTTATTGTATTTATATGCTTTGCCACAAACGGTCCACTGGCCTCCAGCACCTCCAACATAGGGGGAATTATGACTGAATGATTTGAGGGCTGCACAGATGTAGAACAGCTGAACACGGATATCCCAGGATTTTGGAACAACACTTTGATCGCGCCTCAAGGAGAACCGCTAGTTTCGGGGAAACTTGTTGAAAGCGGCGGAGAATGAATGAAGGGATGATGATAGG